AATAGGACAAACCGACTTTGAAAGAGGATGGTGGCTGGTTGAGAGGTGAGCTCTACAGTTGCCTTAATGATGCCCCCTCCCCAATATTATCTTGGCCTTATCTTCCTAAAGGGCAATCTGGCAGGTTTGGGCTTTTACATAGTACAAGCCTGAGCCACTGTGGTGATTGTGTCCTGAATCAACAGCAGAAGACTGTGATGTGGCTCTTTACCTGGAGGAACTTCTCTCAGTTTGTGGGCAGGATTCTTTGTACGAAGCTGTAACTTCATTTTCTCTCTTTTACCAAACGCTTGGGCAGCTTCCTGTAATCTCCATTCAGCCTGCCCTTGAAGGTCCTTCTCAGTCTGGGCCCCTGGATTTTCCATGCCTCATTTGGTTCTGCTCCTCTCCATCCATCCGTCCCATCCATCTGTCCATCTCTCCCTCTATATGTGTGGGTGGGTGTATATACGTATACGTATATCTATACACACACGTACCTATATCTTTATATCTATCTATGATGTTCTACACATTGTAGGCCAGAAAGCTGGGGCAAAATCTCAAAGATATCATTAAAAAGGAAGCTGACAGCCAGCATTTCTTCAGCCCCTACTGTGTGCAGGCTTCCACGCTAGCGGTCTCCCACTTCAAGGAGCTTGCAGTCTTACGGGGGTAGACAACATGCCAACAGCTGTGTACTGACAAGCTGTGGAGAGGCTGAGTGGGTGTGGGACGTACGCTGATGGAGAGTGCCAGGCCAGCCTGGCTTCATCAGTGATAAGAGCTTGTAGGGAGAGTGCTCTTACGGTCTGCAGAGCGCTTCACAAGGATTGTCTTGTTTGATCCTTACAACCCCCTGGGGAGGGAGATGTCTTTATCTTCATTATACAGTTGAGGAAACTGAGGCAGCCAGAAGTGAAGGGCCTCACACAGCTTGTAAGTGTCTAAGGCTGGATTTGAGCTCAGGTTTCCTTGAGCCTGGGCTCGGGAGCACTTTCTGAACCATCACGCCACCAGCCACCTCCAGGGGCCCCACCAACGTTATTTCCCTTTGTGACAGACTCACAGAACCAGTACACAGGAAGAACGCTCCAAGTACGGTTCATTCAAACTCAAGCCAGTATTTAACAAAGTCTCTTTCACCTTGGGCCCCTACTCTGTGGCCTTGTCCAGCACACAGGTGCAGCCAGGTGGGCTGCGGCGCAGCGATAGTCTCTTGCTCACTTTTAAAGAAAATAGCAAGGTGCTTCATTTATGCACTGTGAGAACTGATGGATTGGAAGGTGGGACAATTACAAGATAAACAAATTAGGGGCAGCTAGGTGGCGCAGTAGGTGGAGCACTGGCCCTGAAGTCAAGAGGAACTGAGTTCAAATCCAGCCTCAGACCAAACACTTGACACTTACTAGCTGTGTGACCCTAGGCAAGTCACTTAACCCCAATTGCCTAAAAAAAAAATTGATAGAGTGGGTGGGGAAGGACTGACATGAAGCAGAAAGACTGTATCCATGAAAGCTTCAGGTCTTTTAAAAAAATTATTATTATAAAAATGATTTCTTATGATTATCTTCAAACACAAACACACATTTGCAGTTTAAGAATGAATTTCTACATGTACTCTCCCTATAGCAACTTGTTAGTTCCACAGTCTATATCTTCTGGTCTCTGTTCATTTGTGTGTGTGTGTGTGTGTGTGTGTGTGTGTGTGTGTGTGTGTGTGTGTGTATGTGTATACAATAGATAACACAAAATTTCTTTTCATGTAGTCTCAGGCTCCTTTCCTCAGGCCCTGCTCCAGCACCTGGTGAAATGCCATTGCTGATCAGTCCTGCCAGGCTAGGCTTTCGGTGCAAGCTGGGGGGTGGTTGTGTCTGTGGCCTGAGTATGAGTGCTGAATTTGCAGAGATTAATAATCATCAGGAGGCTCTCAGGGTGGGGACTCTTGCAGATAGTGAAAGAATGCATAAAAGGGAGTTGCCATCTGGCTGCTTGGCAGTGAGATCACGGATGCTTGAAGGGACAACATAGTAGTGTGTATGCTCTTCTCTGGCTTTGGGTCAGCTTGCTTCTTTTTCTCTATCCCGATTTCTTCATGTTCCATCTTTTTCATTTTAATGCCATGAGACATTCACAGGCATTGTGCTATAGTAGACAGAGGGAGTACCTGGGTTCAAATCTCACCTCTGACCTCTGCTGGCTGGGTGACCCTGGGCAAATCCCACCAGCCCTTTGGGCCCAGGCCCCTCTAAGGTGTAGAGAAGGTGCTGATCTGCACTGGCAGGGAACACAGGCCCGATCTTTAAAGCCAAAGCCTTGTCTTACACCAATTAGATCATTCCGCCTTTGGGCCACTTTGAGATCTCTTCTGATTCTTTGCAGTGACTCAGAATGCTGCCAAATATGTGTGTGTTTCTTTGGACAGAATTTCTTTTATGATGTTATCCTTTGGGTAAGATTAACACGGCACGGTTGGGTCAGAGGCACAGTTATTTTGTGTGACTTTTGTTATTCCTGCCAAATCGCTCTCCCGCCACATGATGATGTCACTTGGTGGTTCTTTAAGTGAGGGAGGGGAAAGGGCGCTGTCTCTTCCCAACTCACCAGCATTGGCTGGTATTGTTGCAGATTGACTAAGTGATGTAGTACCTCAGAGTTGTTTTGTGCTTTTCCAATTACTAGCGAGCTTTAATATTTTAAAAAAAGTGATTGTTCACAGTTTATGTGTCTCCTTTTGCAAATAGCTTCTTTGTATTCTTTCATGAAGAACTCTTTTTGGTGCCAGTTAGCTGCACCTCCTTTCCTTACCCCGATTGTCCTATGTGTTGGCTATTTCTCAATCCTCTTCAATATTCTTATGAGTGGAGATGATTAGAGGGTGGGTGGGCGGGGGCAGCCCAAGATCAGAAGGGGCTAGAAGACTTCAAGATGGTAAGGAAGTGAGCTTTTCAGGGTCACACAGGTAGAGGAAGAACACAGCTGAGATTTCGCCCCAGATAGGTTGTTCTCACTGCTGCACCAGGCTGTGGGGACCATGCTGAATTCTCATTGGTTTATTGCTGCATGGCTCCTCTTCCTCCAACTTTGCTAATAGCTGAATTGTTTAGGGCCTCTCACCTTCCTCCTCCTCCTCCTACACATGAGAAGCAGGAAGAAACCCCAGCCTTCTGGATTTTCTGAAAGAAAACCCTACCTTATGACTGAAGCCCAGGGGAGTATCTATAATGAGGAAAACAGCCAACTTCATTGCAGAGAATGTCATTATTTCATTTAATAATGTCAGTGGCTTCAAGTGCTTTGATAGATTTTTGTTGTCTTTTTAAAAGAAGGAGTGACCCTGGGATTTGAACCATTTAGGCCTATAACTTCTGTGATACAGGAATACATTTTTCATTACTGTTTTTACTAAGATAAAGTTAAAGATAATCGCATTTCCTTCCATGTTTGCCAGAGAAACAGACGGTCCAAAATATACTAGATCAGCTGTTTTCATTAATTCTTAGTGTGCAAAAGTAGTTTAGTATATTTCTTCCAACTAAATCTCTGGACAATTCATTTTAATCTCTCTGAGTCTCAGGTTCTTCATGTATGAAAGGAGGGGGAATGGACTAGATCCATAAAGGCCTTTTTAGCTCTGAATTCTGTGCTTTAATCCTTTTTACAGATGAGTAAACTGAGGCCCATCTAAGCCTCATAGGGAGTGAAGGGCAGAGTCAGACCTCAAATGTGGGTCTCATAACTTTCTAGGGTCTCTTGCTTTTGGGAGGCTCATCTTCCACCAGAGTCCTTTTTCATAGTGTGGAGGTGACCCTGGGTCTTCCATCCAGAACGCCTAGCTCCGGCAGGACCTTAGTACTAAGCTGGACAGGTACCAGGTCAGGCTGGAGACAGATGGGTGGCCTGTCACCCAAAGATTTACCTCACTAAGAGGCTCCACACCACAAGTTGCCTTACAGCCACTTATGGGGATGGGCTGTGAACTGGGTCAGCCGTGAGAGGCCAGCCCTCAGAGCAGACATTGAGGTGGTCATTGTTCATGCTCAGAAGCTCAGTGTTTGAGACCATCCCCTCTACCTGACGCCCAACAGCTGCTTATCTAGTCTAGACCCCTGGTGATTAGAGAATGTGCTCTTCGGCTTCTGTACCTACTCTTCCCTCCTGCCTTAGATCTCCCCAAACTTTCTACACTTGTCAAAAATGTTGCTTGGATACATTTTGTATTTATTAGACCAAGCTTCTTTTGGGCAGGGATCCTGCCTTTCCCCTCACCTCTCTTCCCAGCCACATCCCAGTGCCTAGCACAGAGCCTCCCATTTACACCGGGAGTGGATAGACCCCAAGATATGGGTCTGGTAAGGACTGTCTGTCCTGAGCTGCAGTTACGCAGTCAGCCCGGTTCAATGTGGGGGCTCATCACCAGTGGTTGGGTGTCCACCACTGAGTTTTTAGGATGTCACCATCTGAAGACTGCCTGCTATGAAGGCATCCAAGGAAGGATGGGATGGAACCCTCCACATCATGTCCCAGGTGGTTGTGAGAAGTGTATGATCGGGGCGGCTAGGTGGTGCAGTGGGTAGAGCACTGGCCCTGGAGTCAGAAGGACCTGAGTTCAGATCCGGCCTTAGACACTTACCACTTACTAGCCGTGTGACTCTGGGCAAGTCACTTAACCCTAATTGCCTCTCAAAAAAAAAAAAAGTGTACGATGGCTAAGAAGCACGGGCTGCTGTGCAGTGGATGTCTTCTCCCTTGCCAGACTGCGCTCCCCCTCCCTTTCCTAAGCCCTGTGTTCTCCCCCGACCCTCGCTGCCGAGGTCGCCCACTGCAGGGCTCCGTAGGTGACGAATGCATGTTTGCTGTACGGCCTGGCGCCCGCCACGCCTTCTGATAATGCCGGTGGCTTTGCTCTCTTTGGCAGGTGGTGGCGGTTTCTCCAGTGCTGTCGCGTGTGGAAGGGGCGCCACGCCCTCCCCGACAGCCACGCCTTCTGGTAACGCTGGTCGCTTTGCTCTCTTTGGCAGGTGGTGACGGTTTCTCCAGTGCTGTCGCGTGTGGAAGGGGCGCCACGCCCTCCCCGGCCACCACGGCTTCGGCCTGCCTGTTCCAGCGCTTCTTTTGTCAGCAAGCCCGGCAGAGCCGTCCCTCGGCGCCCCCGGCAGAGGAGATGGCGAAGATGACAAAGGCCAAAGCTTTCCAGGCTTACCTGCCTCGCTGTCACCGAACTTACAGCTGCATTCACTGCAGAGCCCATCTAGCCAGCCATGACGAGCTGATCTCTAAGGCAAGTCACTGGTGTGGGTCACGCCGCTGGTAGAAGACTTGATGGCAGTGATGCTGTTTGCCAGCACGGCCAATAGCTCGGGCAGTACCTCGAATTCTGGTCAGCCGGCTCACAGCGAGCAGGCCCGGGGAATGCGCCGACCGTGCCAGACGCTGATAGTGCCCGGCCTTCACGGAGCACTGGAGGGGGAAAGCTGGCTCACACTTGGCCCTTGAGGCTTAGAACGTGCCTTACTCCCCACAGCCCTGGGCCACAGGCAGGGAAACTGAGGCCCACCCGTGGCCACACAGCTAGCGTCAGAGGCAAAATGTGGACTCAAGACTCGTTCCTCTGCGTGCAGCATTCGCTCCCATCATGTCACTCCCCATCTTGCTTACGCTTCTTAAACAAGGTTTTGTTACTTTTCCTTCTCTGGCCTTTACCTGGGCAAGAGTACTTTGAGGATCTCTGGTTCCACTGCTATGCGTGACCTGGGTCACGTCGACTGTTTTTAAGATTTGTGGCCCCAAACCTCCAAACCCCCTGCGGCCAACGTGGCGATGCTTCGCTCACCTTTAAGCTAGCCAGTGTGCAGGCAGCAGAGAACCGCAGTCTAGCTCGAGGTCTGTCCTTGAAGCCTTTCCATCCTGGAGGAAGCTGTCAGCGTTTGCACCCACTGACATCCCTCTGAGCGTGCCCCACCACGTGGGGTTCTACACCAAGTGTAGAACAGAAGGCCTCCCCTGCCAGAGCACTCGGGCCCAAGGAAACCAGAAGGACAGTCAGGGCTAGCATCCCTGCAGGGTCTCCTTTGATCCTCGGCACAGCCATGTTATAAATAAGGATACCGCACCTCAGGTGATAGGAGAGGACACACTCAAGCCTTCCTCCTTCAGCCCCTTGCTCTGTCCATTAGACTCTTCATGCTTTTCAGAGTTGATTGACCTGCCCAGCCTTCCCTGAAGGGATATGGTTTCTAACAGTCCTCAGAGACAATATCCCGGCCTCCTCTGCTGCCATCTTCCAAAAGCTCTGGGTATTTTCATAGAGAAGTGTAAAATGTTAGAGCTGGACAGAGCCCTTGAGATCAACTGATCCTGCCCTGTCATTTGATGGGTGAGGAAACAGAGGGGAGGGTCTGAGCTGGGCCAGAGCTTCCCTGGTCTCCTGGGGGCCCAAGGCCTGTGTTATCTATGAGCACCACACTGTCTCCTGTCACTGTGGGGATCCTCAGTCTCCCTGCCCCCGAGGGTCACCCGAGCTGCCTTTTTTAAAGGCAGAATTGGAGTCAGAGAGAGGAGGAGCAATTGTCCCAGACAGATAGGCAGGCTGTCAATCAGCAGCCATGCTGAGAACAGCCCTCAGCTGCCTTCCCCCACAGAGAGAAGGCACGTTATTTGACCTTTCCTGCTTATATCTAGTTTTTCCCCTAAAATATGTCTCAGAGTTTTAAATTGCCCAGATACCGTCAGGTCCAGTGAGATGTGAGGGGTGCCGACGGAACGTGTGTGTGTGCTGCGCAGGTGGCCTCGGGCCACCCAGGGCTATGTACCTCAGCCTTCCTCCCCTCCTGAAGCCCCACTGTCTCTAGAGAGAGAGTGAATTGCCCCAGAGTGGCCTCACCTGAGTCAAGGCCATCCCTGTAGTCAGGCCCTCTTCCCCCAGCCCAGGGCTCTTTCCACTACTCTCTGTTACTTGGGCAGTGCAGGACCCCTGCCTTACCCATGCCACAGAGCAGTGGTATCATTTGCAGTGTATTTTTGTGTATCTAACTAGGGGAAGACAAAACACATTTTTAAATGTGAGGAAAATGAGAGATGTGATGTCACTGGCAATAGAACTCTGGTGCAAATTCTAAAAACAAGTCTCCAAACATTGAGTTGGCTCCATAGATGCTTGGCCATCTGTTTCCATGCCTCGCTTTCACCACCGGCACTGACCTGGCAGAGCCTTTGAAATCTGGAAACTTTGGGGGACAAGCCCCAAGTGTCTTTGGATCTAGTCAGACCGGATGTGGGCTGCAAGAGTAAAGATAATCCTTGCCCACTTGTAAATCCGAATCCAGCATGGATTCTTTAATAGTGTTATCCTTGGGCCACATCAAGTCTTCTCTATAGTGCCAGGATGAATCCTGCATATCACTAAGGAGTCTTGTGTGTTTATTCTCATTCTAATAAATGGCTTAAAATTATATACTGTTGTAGCGGCTACCCAGCACTGTCTTCAAAATACCTCTGTCAGGTAACAGCTACTACTACTACTGCTAGCATTTACACAGTGCTTTACAAAGCAAAGTACTTTCCAGATAGTATCTCATTTGATCCTTACAACAACCCTGGGAGGTAGGTGGTGTTATTATTATCCCCATCTTATAAATGAGGAAACTGAGGCAAACGGAGTTAAGTGACTTGCCCAGGGCCACAGAGCCAGTAAGTGTGTGAGGCTGGATTTGAACTCGGGTCTCCCTGGGCCCAGCACCACTCACCTGTATTAATAGTGCTGGCTCCGTCTTACCGGTAAAGAAGCAGAGCTGGAGCTTCCTTCTGTGACCAGCCTGTGGATGTACAGCGAGGAAGCATTCGCCCTCCGACTTCACATGCAGAGCCGAAATGCAGCGTTGTTTAGAGCCCTGCTTTGTGTGGCCACATCTTTGGCAGACCTTCTCTTCTCCTCGGTTCTAATCCAGCCAAAGAGCAGCTGGTGACTGCCACTATTGCGGCCTATGGCCTAGTGGGAAGGACCAGGGGTGTCATCGTGGCTCTGCCAATTACGGAGGTCTGTGACTTGGGACCTATTTCTCAATTTACGAAGTGCAGACAATATTTTTGCCTGGCAGAGTTGGTAGGATAAAATGGAATTTCATTCACACACAGACATATAGACAAAACACCAGAAAACACACTCAACAGATAGTCAGCACCTGTCATGTACATGACACTCTGGGGGAGGGGAGGAATAAAAAGATGCATAAGAAATTATCTGTGACCCGAAGGAACTTCGAATTAGTCTAGTAGAGGACAATCATAGAATCCTAAATTTAGAAAAAGACTTCTAGTCTGACTTTCTACCTATGCAGGGATCCCACTTACATGCTGCATTTGGAGGGGCAGCTAGGTGGTGCCATAGTGCACAGAGCACTGGGCCTTGGAATCAGGAAGACTCATCTTCCCAAGTTCAAATCTGGCCTCAGACACTTACTAGCTATGTGACCCTGGGCTAGTCATTTAACCCGGTTTGCCTCAGTTTCCTCATCTGTGAAATGAGGTGGAGAAGGAAATGGCAAACTGCTTCAGTATCTTTGCCAAAGAAACCCCCAAATGGGGTCACAGAGAGTCCAAAGCAACTGAAACAAGTGAACAGCTACCGGCTGTATTTGACAAGCATCATCCATTGTCTCCATCTGGCCAGGTTGATTTGTAGGACAGTCCTACCGTGTCACTTCAGCTTTCCTGTCTTAGCTTTATGCACACTTTCTTGACCATGTCATTCATTTTTTCGAGGATATGTCTCTTGCCTCCCATCTTCTCCTGCCTCTTCTGTTAAATCCGTTTTCTCTGTTTCTTTTAAACGAGGCATTTTGGTTTTTATGATCTTAACAAGTATGAACATTTTGATACACAAAGAGCAGAAAAGAGGATTGTAGATGAAACTATTCACTTATATTGCACACAGTGAAGTTTTTAAAGAGTGTATATTAAAGCAAGCGTGATAGTCCCAAAATGGCTTTGCTCACCTCTGTCCCCCGTGCTCTTCCCTCTGCTTTCTTGCTTATATTTTAAAAAATGTTTCGTTGGCCCCTCTTTTCTGTATTTTCTTTTTTTGCATCACTATTATTACCCACCAACTCCGTTTTGCAAATAGAAACTTTCTCTTGCAATAGAAATTGCAACACATCAGAGTAGTCAAGCCTGCCTCTTACGGTGAGCCGTCTCTAGGCCGTTGCCTTTCTGCTAAGAGGAGGGGAGCATGCTTCACCCGCAGTCTACTAAGCTCTGTTGTTCCATCACTGTATTCCAGTTACAATCCATCTCAGCCAAGCGGTGGTCGTAGCAATGTTCACTTTTTAAAGTGTACTGCCTATGTTGATACGGGGACCTTTGAGTCCACGCTATTCCCAACCCTTTCCCCTCTTCTGTTGTTTATTTTCCATTTCAAACATTTTTGTGAATGGCCTATACAGGACTAGAAGTGGTTTCGCTGATTCACCCCTGTGGTGGGGTGGACAGCTAACTTATTCTGAATTCTCTCAGGAATCCCTGGCTCCTGTATCTGGCCCTGAGGAGTGGTGATGTGGCTGATGGATTAATGGGAGTCCTTGCCAGCCCCCAGTCGAGCCCAGGCTGATGTATTGCCTCTGGGGGTGGAGTCAGGCTACTTGGCAGACTTCTGTCCCTCACCCCAGACAGCATCTGGCTGAAGTATCCACTACTCCCCGTTAGCACCAGACTCATGGCTCCCTGCTTTTAAATCTTATCAGCTCCCGAGGAGAGGAAGAGGGTGCCTAGGCCTTGGGGTGGGGGCGGGGCAGAGCTGAAAAGGCTTCTGGTACCACTGGTGGGGGGTCGGGTGGGTTCCCTTTCCCCAGGGTCAGACAGCTCAGCCTATGCACAATAGCTGAGGAGGCCCTGCAGTGAGCGGTTTCCTGGCCTCCTGTGAGTCACTGAGCCCCTCCTCCAGGTCTGTTGCATGACAGAGTTTATGGTTGTCATGCTCCGTGGTTATTCTCAAATCCTCCACATCAGATTGTAGATTAAGGCCCAGTTGATTGATTCTGTCTGTGGGTCTCCTGACAAGCACATTCGGGAAAAGCCTCCGATGTTTCAGCACCATCTACTTTGCCCATGACCAACTTCCAATTTCTGCCTCTTTCTAAGTCCCATCCTCTACCCTGCTCAGACCAGACCTGGAGTTCTGTGGTCTGTTCCAAGTTGAGCATGTTAAGCTGACAAGTTGGGAGGCAGACAGAAGAAGGTGACAAGAATAGGGGGGCAGGGGGAGGACTGGAGATGGTGCCATTCCAG